CTCTGGGTAGGGTTATCCCCTCCCYAGATTGCAACCCTACTTAATATACTTTAATAAGTTCACTAATAATTATTATTTAGTTTCATTTCATTGATTACTACCTAAATTTGCGAGTCTCGTGCTGTTCAACAAAGTGTTTATACAATTATATATATTTAGCTTTAATATTCAACAAATTGTTTTATTATTATTACTTTAATTTAATTTTACTGCTAATTAGCAATTAGTTTATCTATTTTTCTCTTTCTCCAAATAGACTAAAACTTTTCCAATAAACTATTATAATTAATTTACAATAAGCACGATATTATAACAAAAAAAAAAAAACTATAAAAGTTTAAATCTTATTTATAAAATAGGATTTATTTCATATTTATTGATTGTGTTATAAATTTTGGTGTGTCTTTAAAAATGAACTTATTTTCTAAATTGTTTGTATTTATAATTGTTATGTTAAGTGTCAACTTTAACTATGGTTTGTATTATCAAACAAATCCATTATTAAAAAATTTATAAAGTATAAAGTTAAATATATTTTACTTAACAATTGGATATACTAAGTGATTGGTGGCGGGCACGGACATGGACATGGAGGTGGAGGAGGTCCTGGACTTGTACTCATACAAAATAACAAACACTCAGCTAATAAATACTCAGGAGATATGTGAGTTAACTATTGTTAAATATATTTTTATATATATCAATCATAATATTATATTTACTGTACAAATATAATAATATGAAATCAAATTTATTATAATAGACTATTGTTTAATAATGGATGTGGTAGTCCGGGTCTTATCAAAAACGGTGGCAAAAAAGGCAAAAACATGTATAAGACATAAAAAATGTTTATTGTATTTAATTAATAATTAACTTAAACTACAATTAAAAAATAGATTAGTATTACCGGGCGGGTGCCAGAAGAAAATTATTAAGAAAAAGATTGAGTACGTGCCGGTGCCCGTCAAAGAGTACATTCCCGTCAAACACATACAGCCTATCATTATGCCAATGATGAAGAAAGACATGGAGATGCCTATGATGGGTATGGGCCATGAAATGGCAGGCGCTATGTCTATGGGAATGGGTATGGGTATGGGTCATCAAATGGCTGGTGCTATGTCTATGGGGATGGGTATGGGCTCAGGCATGGGTATAGAATCATTAGCAATGCATGACTTTGCAGGACTCGACACCAAAAAATCGGTGACACATGTGTCCAGTGATGACAAACCAAGTGATAAAACTAAAGATAGACCCAAAGTGACGATCAAAATTAAGAAAATTAATAATTATAATAATAATACTAATATTAATTAATAACAGATAATAAATATATTTTTATAGTTATCATTATTTGAATCATTTTCATCTAAGAATTGTTATATTTTGTTAGCTATAAAAATATAACTTTTTTTAAATATTAAATATTTCATGTGTTTTTGTCACAATTTTATGTAATATTATCAATACAATACATTATCATATTTTTATATGCTTTATTCACATCTATCTATTTTTAAAAAACCATTTACTAATACAAGTTTAATGACAATTTCAGTCTAATAATTAATTTTCAAATGATTAATGTAATAAAGCATTAGTAATATTTATAGTACAGTATTAGTAATAAACTATTTTTATATAAAGTATTTAACAACTTAAGTATTCAAATTAAATAAATATTTATTAATAAGTATTGCAAATTATAATAAACTATATGAGTTTATTTATAAAATAGATTTTTGAAATATAAAATTATTTTTGAAAAAAATTGATGTTAACCTATAGACAAAACCGACTAACACTATAGATAACAATGACAATGTTAACTAATTTTATTAATTAATTTTTTATTAATTTCACAAAATACCTTTTATATTAATAAAAATGTATAATATAAATTATAAATTTTATCATCTAAATAAATATTTATAACATAATTTATTATCACTAACATAATTATAATAACAATTGTACACATATTCAAATTAATAATAATTAAATATACAGCATAATTTATATACTAGTATAATATAATTTATTTTTAAATTAACAAAATTTTTCAATAAAATAAATCCCAGTTATAATTATATAAAAAATTTATGTGATTTAAATACATTATACTGTACTGTAATTTACTGTATATTAATATAAAGTTAAAGTTAATGCAAACGTAATGTATGACTGTTTGGTCTAAACGTAATGTTTATACAATACATGTGATGATTATTTTGGAGACAATTATTACAGTTTGTATTGAAAACAAACTAAACTACAGTACAAACAATACTATTGACACCAATAGTAGTGTTTAAAGTAAATACTGATCAGTGATCACAACAACAATCATGAGTTGCGATCAATTGATGGACTATTTGTGTTCATCGCTGGGACTGAACGTGTCGTACGTTCAGACAGTTATCGACAATCAGATCCAATTGGAGACCAAAGAGAAGATATTGCAACAACTGAAAGGTGAAGGCATCGAAATGAAGCAAAATTTCAATCTCGAGATCTATGTCTGCAAAGTCTGTGACGAGTGCTTCCAGACGGCAGACCTGGCCGTTGCTCATACATCAAGTGGCCAACACACGGACAACAAGTCGGGTAATTTTCCCGATGATTTGGACAAATCATTGTGTATTCCCACCGATAGACTGTCCGACATTAGTGTGGTGTTGGCCCGCAAAGAGGAGCTCAAGAAGATGGATATACGTACCAAATATCAATACCGACGGCACGGCATACGCATCAAAGATGGCATCGGCTGTGAGGCCTACGTCTGTATTGTGTGTAATCTGACATTTCGGTCAGTCGGTTACGTCCGACAGCACCTGAAGAAAACGGAGCCCAACTATGAAGAAGAAGAGTTTGTCTACTCGACGATCATCTATGAGATGCTCCAGAACTCTAGTGCCAGAGCTAGTGAACCATATGTGCCACGACTGCCGCCATTGCCTGTCATCTCATCGGCGGTGATGTCGACGAACAACAATATCAACAACTCATTGACACCACAGTTAAGTGTTGCCTCAACTCAACAGACAACTGTGTCATCTGTTCCCATCACATGTGTTGTGCCCACTCTATCAAGTGATGATACAGTAGTGCTGCCACAGAAGCGACGTCGCAAAAGAGGTCGCAGAAGAAATCGTAATAGAGATAAAAGTCGTGATAGAAGTCACGATAGATCTCGTGATAAGAATCGAGACAGAAGTGGTGAAAGAAGTCGAGATAAAAGTCGTGAACAAACTAGAGATCAAAGTCGTGAAAGAAGTCGTGATCGCAAAGTCAGAGCTCGTAGTCGTAGTCGAAGCCGGAGTCGCGACAGAAATAGTAGAGACGATAGAAATGGACGGAACAATAGGATCAAAGAATCAAAAGACTTTAAAACTCAGGGAATATCTATTAATGATAACAAATCTCGGAGTGAAAAGTATTTATGTATTGTTTGCAACCGATTGTTGGCCGACCAGACAATAGCTCAAAGACATATCGCTACTGATGAACACTCTTACAATAGAAGACATTGTAAACGATAGCCAATTATGACGATTATGATTGATATTTTGATTGATTGATTGTTTTAATTAATAGTGACTTTTTTGCTTAAATTATTTAATTTATTAATTAATACAATTATAATCAACATAATTGTGATGATTCTCTCAATTATACAATTTAATTGTATATCTTATAGTATATTAAGTATAAAATATATTAATTTATTGGTTAATAAACCAATAGTTTTTATATATAAATTAAAATATAATACTTATCTGGCAACATTTAATGATTATGTATGAATAATAATAATGCTAWATATGCATTAATTATTTATCATTATTAATTGATGATTGACTGTTAAATTGTGATAATCATAGTTTCATATTAAATGTAAAATTAATAAAAATGAATTACCATAATTATTTAATTTGAAAATTTTTATATGATTTTTTAAAAATTTAGTTAATAATCTAAATTACGGCAACACAACTATCGGTATACAGTTATATATAAATACTGTATTTTTATTATATTAATACAATATATTTATGGTAAGTACTTTTGCACTTAAAAATATTAATACGGGTAATAAATAAATAAAATATAATAATAAAATTAATTTACCGTAATAGATACAGTACTTTAGTTTTATAAGTGTGATAAGTTTTATAAAATATTACTGTTTTTTTAATAACTATTTAAAAATTATGTTTACTTTTTTCAAAAATTATTTTAATTAATTATCATTACGGTAATAGTTATTTATTTAAATTATATCAAATTTATTGTATATCTACTATATATTTATCATCATACTTTATAAGCACTTTTTTTTTAAAAAAAGATGACTACTTGCATACAAATATTAATATTTAATATTAGCATTTACCGTTATATTGTTTAATAATACCGTATTGTATTGTATAGTATGCTACTGTATACAGTATGTATGATAATTTTATTTATAGTACTGTATAAATAGTGATTTAATAAAGTACTTGAATTTGTATTTAACTAATATATATATATATATATATATATATATATATATATATATATATATATATATATATCTTTTGATTATATTCTGCACTATTATTGACTTTTATTTTAATGACAAATTGATTTTTTACTATTTTTTCATAATATTTATGAACTTTTTATCTAACGGTATGTACCGTAATATATAAATATTTGATTAAATTACTGTTTAGTGCAAACATAAGTTCAGTACCGGTAATTTATAATAATAATAATATTTATATATTTATATACTAACTTATATTTTTTATTCAATTTTATTTATAAAAGTTGTATTAATTTAAAAAATAATATTAAAGTAAATTTAATTCAATATATTATTATACAATAATATTATTTTGATTGAAATTTAAAACACAGATATAAATTTATATATAATTCAAAAATATTAGTTTATATAAAAATATACTGTAATCTAAAAATAGTTTTAGAAAAATAATTTTCTCTTAAAAGTCATTATCAACTAAAACACAACCTCTTTGTTGGCACACTTTGGACGCAATTTGAATACCGAAATGAACGGAATCATCTATATTATGACCAGTGACCAGATGGGCCACAATACCACCAACAAAAGCATCGCCGGCACCGATAGTATCACCGATGACATCAATTTTAGGCACTGAATACTCTTTAACAATAATCTCATTGTTAGCAAAATATTTGGCGACAATCACTGATTCAGAGCCACGAGTAATAAAAACACATCTTTTAATGTCTGTCCAAAAGTGATTGGTTTGCTTACACTTATCAAGTTTGGCAATACTGGTGGCAATAGTATACATATCGGCAATCTTGTTGCCCGTCAGGTGTGTATAAAATGTCTGAGCTTCGGAACTGTTGGCAAACACAGCGTCGGTATACGGCATGAGATGCATGAGCTCTTCAAAATGATTGGTCACAACATAGTTGGCCGATAAAGAAAGGAACAAATTTTTGTTCAATTGTTCACTGATTTTGGCTAACGATAGCACCAGTATTGGCGAATGGGTCACAAAATATGATTCAACAAAATAGACGACCGATTTGTTTAGGGCTTTCTTCACGAGACTTGAGTCGAGAAATTCAGTGGGCATTTGTGCCGATGCGCCGATGTTAGCCATCAATGTCCGATTGGTTTCCGATGTGACCATTCCGGCCGATACACCTGTCGGTAGTGTCGGATGATAGTGATAAAGTGTTCTCACTTTTGAYGACCGTACCGATGACTCCAATATTTTTCCAGTTTTATCATTTCCTACACTTCCCACAAAATACACTGATTCGGGACCCGTTTGTTTGGTCAGTATTTGTTGTGCTATTCGGGCCGAGTTTTGTGCCGAACCTCCTTTATATCAGTTTTTAAAAATCAGATTAAATACAMGTTTTTACTGTGCAATTATGTAAAAAAATACAACTTACCCGGAGTGGTAATAGCATTGGGCATTAATAGCAATTTATCAAATATAGGTAACTGCCAGTCCTCGGCCTCRCAATTGTCATCAACTTTTAGTTTGTATTTGTCTAAYAAYTTTTGGTCACATTTTGCCGATATATCCAGCAAAGCGTTGCCCATAAATAATATTTGACTATTAGTGGTACGAGAAAAAAAAATAATTTTAATAAATTGTATTGATTTTTTTAAAAACTATTTTAAATATATACAGTATATATATATATATAGAAAGAAAAAAATTAAAAAAAAATTAAAGACAAACTTTTCGCTGGTTTTTATCATCTCGTCTTCACTTTAAATGAATTGAACGCTCAGTGAATCTCAAGGAATGCTTTTGTGAATGAGATTATTGTAAGTAATAAATAAATAGTTTGTTTTATAACAAATATCACATTTAGTTGTTTGATGTAATAATAATAATAATAATAATGTTTTATCGATTGAAAGCCAAAAAAATATGATAAGAAGTTTGTAATTATTTTATAACAAAACTCTTGACAAGTGCTGCGAAACTATTTTAAAAAATACTTTATTATTATCTAATGTTTTTTTTAAATAGCAATATASAAATTATTAATGCAATATTTGTTTTATATGATAATTAAATAAACTATTTATAAAATATCATATATTATGATAGTTACAGTAAATCTATACTAATTGATAACTAAATTTATAATTTAAAAAAATTTAGTTAAGTGCTGTTAAAAATAAGGAATATCAAATTAATACAAATAAATTATTTCATTTATTTTTGTCAAATTATAAACAATAAATTAAAATGAAAAAAAATTTATTTAATAAAAACAATTTTAGTCTATTAAATATTATTCACTATTTTTAATAATTAAAACACTAAACATTAGGAGATTAAACTCAAGGAAACAATTAAACTGCTGAAATAGCAATAGTCAAAACCAATATACAGTTACACTGTATTACAAGTATTACACTGTACTGTAGTGTACTGTATAAATACTAAATAATTATATTTTTAACATTTAATGTTAAAAATAAAAATCTGCGCTTACTGTACAACTAAACAAACAAAGTTTTTATTTTAATTAAAAGATTAAATGTAAATTTATGCCAAATCTGTAACCCGTGCGCCACTACCACCACTAACTAACTCTTTTAAAAAAATAATATTTAAAATAAAACTATTAAACGATTAATCACTTTTACTTTTTTTGTGAACATAAATTTATAATAATGTTATGTAAAAAACATAATTATTAAAACATGAAATTACGCGAAACGGAGTCGCATTACTCCCCGACATTTATGAGCTAATTATATCACTTATTAAATAATATGTATACACTTTATAAAAAACATTTCAAAATAACATATAGTATTTTACATTATAAGATGGATTAGTTTATATTACATTTAGTGTACATCACATTAAAAGTTATAAAACACTGTACATAACACTACTGTGTAAAGAATATATCATTAAGTTTTATATAATCACATAAATATATTTTACAGTATAGTATAAATATTAATTTATAAAAATTTATAAAAAAAACAGGTAAAACTAGTTGATAATTTTGTTTATAAAAAAATTATTATTTATCCTTAATTTAGCGCATATAAATATTTAGTTTTACAAAAAATAATCACTATGTAATTATTAAATATGTAAATATTAATTTTTAATAAAAGCAAATTAATTATCAATTGTTATTAATTTAACAAATTTTAGCTCATTTTGTAAAATGTTTATTATTTAAAAACAAAAGTAGCATACCTGTTTTTACATTACACACATTTTTTGTAGTTATCAAGGTTATTGGGGAATTTATATAAATTGCACTTTTTTAAAATTCATTAAATTAAAAATTTATTTTAAACAGATTTAAACAAACAAAATGTTTTGAATTATGATTAGTGATTATTTTAAAATATGTATACATTATATACTTAAAAAGATTAGTTATATTTAGTTTTCATTAAAAGTAACTCTGAGTACAAGATTATTGTATCTCTGGACCAGTCGTGTCTGAACTTTGGTCGGTATGTAAGACAAGCGGGCCATTAGTCCGGTCTCCTCTGGAATCACATCCAACTTATTGTTGTCGTAATTGCCGTCYTCCAGTGCCGGCAGATAATTGTCGACTGTTTTGTCGATCACATCAACATAAATGTTGAGTCGACTCTTCAGCAATCCTTCTAACATATGAAAAGCCTTATCCATTCCGATCTTTCGCTGTCTGCTTAAAGTGCCTTTAAATTGATCCAACTTTTGGAGACTCATTCCTTTAAATGAAGTCATTTGATTTAGCGCTTCCTCTTTGAAGTCTTCGGGTGCCATATGTATGGACGGATACTTAGTCTCGAGGGCTGTAAGACCGTTGCAGGCGTACGAGTCCACAATTCCCAACGGCTTCTCCAATCGTTTGCCAACTTTGGTCACCGCCTGACTACTGGCCACCATAACCACTACCCGTTCGCTGATCATCAGCGTGTAGTCAATGTAAGGATTGAATCGTTTTAGACCATCGTATAGATTGATACCAAACTTTTTGATCGCAACAATGATCGGTATCTGCAGGAGTAACTCAAAGAAATTATAGGGTGTGGTCTCGGCAATTGTCATTTTAATACGTTTGATAACCACTTGCATTAACAGCGACTAAAATTAAGGACTTTTAACAAAAATATATAATAAGAAAATATAACACAAAAAATAAATTATTGAAAACAACTTTTTAACACTTTTTCTGATCAAATGATAGTTTAGAGAGTTTACATCCGATTGAATGTCTACTGGGTTTGTGTCGAGGCTTTTATACAAAAAAAATTGTTATATTATAATAATTAATGAGAAATAAATTCATTGATTTTGATTCACAATTACACTATGTATAGTATAGCTGTAAATATATTTGATATTCAATTTTTAAAAATTTTGGCATTTATTAGTATAGTATTATCAGTATTAATGTGGTTATCAAATAAACTTTTCAATTTATATTCAATGTTTAACCAATATTTTAAATCAACTTTTAAATAACAAGTACTTTGAGTCAAATTAATTAATCAAATATTATTATATTATAATAATAATTATTATGATAAATTTTTCTTATAAAACATTAACAATAATTCTCAATTGCAATATTTTATGGAAAATTTTTCATATACAGTACATTTTAATATTTATTAAAATTTGAAAAATTAGTAATTATAAAAAACATCAATTATAGCTTAAGGTAAATAAAAGGTTTAAAAATTGCTTTATCGTAAAAAAATAATATACCGGTAGTTAAATTATTTTCAAACTGTTAGTTATTGTATTACTAATAGTAATAATATTTTATTAGAAAATTTTAAACTACATGTAAAATTGTTTTACATTATTTATAATTATACAGATTATATTCAAACAATAGTTATAATTTTTAAAAAAATAAATAAATAATTGATAATAAAATAGATTCTTAAGTTTGTTTTGTTTTATAATATTTACTAATTAATTTAAAACTAAATTATTTAAAAAACATCATTTTTATTAATCAATTTAATTAAAATAAATAATTTTATTAATTCTATTGATTCAAATTAATTAAAATTGTTTTTGTATTTAAATTTCTTAYAACAAAAATTAGTAATAGTATTAATTAAATTTGTTAATATGAATTTAATATATTTTTTWTAAATATCATTTAATATAAAKAAAATCTATTATTTGATTTAATGTTTCAGAAACTGTTTATTTAATATAAAAATATATTTACAAATTTAATGCTATTTTAGTACTATTTTAGTATAAAGTTATAGTGTATTATTATATGACAATATTATTACTTCATAAGGTATTGAAATTATCAAATTGAATGACACAATTGTCACACAAATCAATTGTCAAACAATTAGCAGAATATCTACTTATTATTAGTATTAGTGATAAAACAATAGATATTTTTTGTTTGTTTGCAAATCCATAGCAATTATGTGTCCAATGATTGGTTAGATTTGATGGACAATGGATTAACTTTTTTGCGGTTTAAAAGACTAACACATTATAAGCCTATAATTAATATAAGCTTTGATTTGTCACCAAAAACACTGTTATTTTACTGTCAAACGGTTAACGTCTTTGTGGACAACAAATTGATGTCCATTTTTTGGGGACAATTTCTGACCACATAATCGATAGTATAGTTATGTATATAAAGAAAGTAAGTTTGTGTCCAAATTGTGTTTTTTGGTCGTCACTTGATTTTTTGGTTATTATCTTTACGTTAGATTACAATCAGCGGTTTTAGGTCATATCGCGACACTAATGTAGTGGACGAACTGTCCGCTGGCCATAATGTGATTGTCGGCGGTAACGGTTGCGGCAAAAGTAATCTATTGAATGCCATTCAGTTTGTCTTAAGCGATGAGTTCAAGGGATTGGCGGCCAATCAACGACAACAACTGATCAATGAAAGCCATAAACAGCGGTTACTTATGGCGTTTGTCGAGATCGTTGTGGACAACACCGACCGCCGAATACCTTTAGATGCAAACGATGTTATATTGCGGCGACAAATTGGTCTTAAGAAGGATCAGTACTTTTTGAACAACAAGATTGTCAACTATTCCGATATCGTCAATATGTTAGAGGCGGCCGGTTTTAGCAGATCTAATCCATACTATATTGTTAAACAAGGTTTGTCATCGCTGACCAATTTTTCTTTATTTCTGACAAAATATCGCAATCTTTAGGAAAAGTAAACGAAATGGCCGTCGCTTCTGATGAGTATCGTTTGCAAGTAATGCGCGAAGTGGCCGGAACTCGTATTTACGACGCCCGCAAAGCCGAAGCCATGAAATTGTTGACCGAAAGTCAACAGCGATCCGAACAGATGGAGGACTGCTTCAACTCAATGGATGAGCGGTTGAATGCATTGGAGAACGAGAGCAACGATTTGAAGCATTTCTTGAAATGGGATAAAAGGCGACGACTTGTCGAGTATACCATAGCTAACAAAGAGTCGGAATCAATCAAGAATAGTGTCGCCAAATATCAGATACAATATCAACAGGAAAGAGATCAGTTGGAACTCAAACAAAATTCACTTCAAGACATCCAACAGAAGATGAAGTTATGCGAGAAGAAGATTAAAGTTATTGTTGGAGTTATCGATGAATATACAAAAGACATGACAAATATATCCGAATTTATCAACGATTTGAATGAACAGAAAGAGCGAATCGCGTTTTCAGTCAAAGACTTTAACGATTCGGTAAACCAGACAAAAAATAATGAATTGAAAACAAAACAAGAGTTGAAAAGTGTTATAAAGCGTATTAAAGACTCTCGAAATATGTTGAAGAGTGTCTCACAAAAGTATGATCAGCTGAAAAAAGATGAGAACGAAGTGGTGGCCAAATTGAAGGCTAAACAGAGTCGAAGAGTTCAGATATACGACAAATTGAAACGCAAAGAAAGCTTTCGGACAGTAGAAGATCGCAACAAATGGATTGAATCCGAGTTATCGAAAGTTTACAAAGAAATTGAAACCAATGAACAGCGAGTCAAAGATTTGAAGAGAGAAGAGGAAGAATTGAGAACAAGAAGAATCAAATTGGAAAAAGAGAAGAAGGTTTGAATGACTTATTATTTTATTTGTTTATTGAATTAATTGATTATTTTTGTTGATAATGAAGAGGTTCACTGACGAAGAAAATGAATTAATTAAGAAAATGGAAAACAAGAAGAAGTTGTTGTGTGAGACAAATAAATTCATTAAAATAATGGAAAACAAAAGATTGTATGAATTATTGTTAATTTTTTAAGACAATGTTTATATTGATATTGATTTTCAGTGAACTATGGGAAGTGGAAAATCAATTGAAACAAAAAGAGTTTGCCATAAGTGATGACAAACAGAAAATTGAGAAAAAGTTTGAAAGGTTTTGGGGAACAGCGGCTACTATTGGCCGTCAAAGTGTGAATGAAGTTTTGAAAATGTTTGAACTAATGGCCACTCGATCGGCAAGTGATCGCAAGCGACTGCAGCCGATAATAGATGGCTATTTAGGTCAAGTGATCGATTGTTTTACATTTGATGCGGCCGTCACTAAAGCACTGGACGTGTCTGCGAAGGGTAAACTGTTTCACCATATCGTGGAAAATGACAAAATTGCGACACAAATAATGAAAGAGTTGAACACTCGGAAAATGCCCGGAGAGTTCACTTTCATTGCTTTAAATCAATTAAATTTCAAACCCGTCAGATATCCAGAATTTGGTGTATGTTTTTCCCGAAATATTATTTTCCATTATTTATTAATAAATTGTTTAAAAATATCTTCAACAGAATAACGCTCGTCCGTTGACTACACTGTTGAGATACGACACTAAATACCAGAAAGTATTGCGGTTTCTGTTTGATCGGACTCTGTTGTGTCGCGATCTCGAAACGTGTACACTATATGCCCGAAGTGCTGACCTCGACTGTGTCACACTGGAAGGCGATTTGGTTTCACGTAAAGGACTAATGAGCGGCGGACACGTACGTGACGAGACCCGAATCGATGTCTACAATAAAATTAAGGCAATCGCCGCCGCTTTGGATTCGATCAGCAATGAGATAAAAGATTGTTTAAAAGAGAAAGAAGATAATGAGTTATTGCTTGGAAATAATGTGGATCAGATGACAGGTCTGGATGTTGACCAGAACAAGACCAACAAACGGTTAGCCGATCTTAAAGTCGCTAAGAATGTCCACCATCAAGAATTGGTTGATTTGAATACTAAATATGAATCAGTTATTAGAAGTTTGTCATCATTGGAGTCAATATTGCCGGCAATGATAACAAATCGAGACTCATATGAGGCCGAACTCGAACTGGGATTAGATTCGCAATTGACTACAAATGAACAAAAAGAGTTGAAAGCCATCGTTCAAGAGATAGAATCGCTGTCCAATCAGCACAAAGAGTTGTGTGATAAACGATGTCAGTTTGCCACCGAAAAAACGAGACTTGAAGTCGAATTAGACGAGAATTTGGAGAAACAAAAGAATGAACTCGAGTTCAATATAATTAGTGCCAAAATTGCCGAAAACGAGACATTATTCGAGACTGAATCGGCTGATCTCGAAATGATAAGTAAGAAAATCAATGGTCTTCGCCAGCAATTGGATGAAAAATACACAAAAATGGATGAATTGGTTCGACAAAAGAGCGAACAGATAGAAATGTTGGACAATATAAGATTAGCCGAAGAAAAGCAATTAAATTTGATGAATATTGACGCCAAACATATGCGTAAAATTGCTGTCAAAATGGAGACAATTGAACGCAAAAATGGTGAATACGTTAGAAAACTAAAGCAAATGGGTTTGTATTGAGTTATAACTGAATTGTTTACAAACATTTGTTAATAAATTATCTTATATTTAATAATCACCAAACAATAGGTACAATACCTAATGAATGTGATGTCGATTATGAAAATATGAGAATCGATGATCTTTACAGAGAATTACAAAAATGCAATAAAAAGATCTCTCGATTAACTAATGTCAATCAAAAAGCATTGGATCAGTTAAATGAAGGCAAAGAAAAGGCTCGTATATTGAATGCCGAGAAGCAAGCAATTGATTTGGGCTATCATTCAATTGAGAAATTGATTGAATCGTTGGAACATCAGAAATATGAAGCCATTCAAGTGACCTATAAATCGGTATCAAAACATTTTGTAGACATATTTAAGCGATTGGTTCCCGAAGGCACAGCATTTATCGATATGATATATGCGGACACCAATGGCACCAATTCGGTGGCCTCTCAAGATAGTCAAGAGTCGCAATCATCGGGTGCTATTTCGGGAATTGGTAGTAAATTTATGACAATTTGATATTTCAATTAAATTACCGGTAATTCAATCGTATTGGATTAGGTTTATTGACTCCTATATTGAACAAAATCGATAATTTTGTTGGCGTCAAAATACGTGTGGCTTTTACGGGAACAGCTATTGTCAAAGAGATGCATCAGTTATCTGGTGGACAAAAATCAATAGTGGCCCTGGCATTCATATTTGCTATCCAACGGTGCGATCCGGCGCCGTTCTATCTGTTCGATGAAGTGGATCAGGCATTGGATCCCATTTATCGCAAAGCACTCTCTGGTTAACCATATTATATCATCTGTTTTTATTATATGATTTTCTTCTAATGTTTTATATTTAATTTTTTATTTAATAATTTTATTTTAGTTATAATAAGAGAAATGTCACGAACTTCACAGTTTATAACGACAACATTCAGACCCGAACTGCTCGACTGCGCCAACAAAGTGTTTGGCGTTAAATTCAGAAATAGAGTAAACAGTTTTTTTATTACATAATAAATAATTTTGTCTAATTTTGTTTTTCATTTTATAACAGATCAGTCATATTGGATCAATTACTATGGAGTTAGCCAAAGAATTTATTGAAGAATCAGATGAATCAATGGATAGATCGCGAAGAGATCAAAGCAGCAGAAAGAGTGTTCGCTTTGACACTTCTGCTGATAAATCTGTTTAATTTTTTATCATTTTCTATAAAATCTATAATATTTATGACTACTTTTCCAATTATATAATTTATTATTGATTTTATTATGATTTATTTTTAAAATTTTTTAATTTATATATCATTTACCGGTAAGTTCTTTAATATATATTCTTCATATTAAATAAGATTTTATTATTTTTTTCTAATAAATTTACCGGTAATTGTTTTTTATGTTAAAAATATTGATAAATGTATGATTTTAATCAAAAATTAATTATTTGTTTATTGAAAATATGGTTTTAATCTTTGTTTATACTCTTGATGTTAGAAAAATATTTTATTCAAGTGATTTGGTTTTTAAAACTAAAGTTTAGCCATACAAACAAAAATAAGCAATAGATTGTCTTTAATGAACTAATAATTATTGGTAATTAACATTAGCTGTAAAATTAACATTTATTAGATAATAATTAAAAACAAATAATTACTTGAATTTCTCACAATTAGCAATAATAGTAATATTAGTAATAACTTATTACAGTATTAAAGTTAAATAATTACTACTAACATATTTTTTTAAATCATTAATATTCAATAATTATATTTATTATATGTAATTTGATTGTAATTTGATTGTAATTTGATTGTAATTTGTAATAAACAAAATAATTAAATATCTATATTAATAATATAATTAAATATCTATATTAATAATTAAATATGTCTTAACAAATATATATATCACGTGATATGATATGCGAGACATTATTTCAATTCTTTTCATTGAAATATTCATGAGATTTATGATATAATAGCATATATTATGCGCGACATTAATAATAGCACATAATTTAAATTAATTTTTGTTGCTTTAAATAATTTAAATTTTATTTTTCATTCAATGATTTTCCAATTACGGTAGCATTCAATAGATTGATAAAAATTTGTTTTGAAAACATCTATTGAAGACATGAATCCAATTATTAAAGTATTGGAAAAGATCTATAAATTTGTACGAAAAATATATAAAAGATATCAAATATATAAACAAATTAATCGATTGGAAACAATTAAACTGAATGGCATTCGCAAGAAATATGGTTTACATCAGCACTGGAACGATGGCATCGGTTCCCACTTACAAGACATCTGTTTGTTTCCCATTGTGTTTGTCTTCACATTAGTGATCGGACTCTACAATAGTGTGGTCACAGCATTAGGTTCGGCACCGAGTGCTGACCGTCGCCAAAGTCATATGAGTTTTGTCTTCAAGAATGGCACCGACGAAAACAAAGTCTTTCGAAAAGTAGTTTATTTTATCTTTGGTTTGATTCTGGCATTCCTTACATATCTGTTCCTCAGTTCACAAGAGTTGGTCTCCGATACAAAACTTATTTCGATGACTATTATAGCTCTTGTTGTGTTTGCATTGATCGCACCGTTCAAAGAGATAATACTTTGTCTAACACTTATTGCATTGCCATCAATATTGTCGAGTAAATTAAGATTCATATTAGTGGCAATCATTGTCTATGCCGTACTGTTTAAGTTGTCGCCCAATATAACAGCAAATGTATTGAAAGGTGTCAGCTCTGCTGGTTGTAGTGTTTGGGGCGCCGGTAAAGGTGGCAAAGATTTAGTCATCAGTAATATCAAACAACATATTCAAAAATTACTACATATTATACAAAATACTTATAGACAGATCAAGAGGTCACTCAAAAAGTTCAATGAAGCCATGAAAAGATTGCTTCAGAGTATAGATATTAGGAAAATGTGTAAACAAAATCGTATGAATAAATTCAATAAGAAATGTATAAATGATATGCATTTAAGCTTATTATCAGTTGATATGACTCCTGTATTCATATGCGATGCTATCACTAATGGAGCACAGAGTACATGTCAATCGATTAAACAAATGTCTGCAAAAATATACAATCAAACAATTATTTTAGTTAATCAAACAATTGAAGAAATATTGTACGATCTGTATGTCGACATTGAACTAAACCACGAACTTAACCATTCAATCAATATTTCGGTCGACTTTGATACTGCCGTCTCATCAATTGGACGCCAATTCTGGGAACGACATTATATTTTAAGTCATATGTCATACTTGGCTAATATCAGAATTATTATATTAATAATTATCACATTTTGGATATTTATTATGTAAGTAATTATAATAAATTACTTTTATAAATTTATCAAATTTTATTTAAATTTATTTATATTTATAAATCAATAGGTCAGTCATATACTTAATTATGTTCAAAAAATCTGATCCGTGGGATAATGTCTACATTGATGAAGAGTTTATGGAAATTGACAAAAAGCGATCAGATTTGGGAAAAGAGACTGTATTACCGCTTACACTCATAGAACAGGACAGATATGTTTCAACATTTGACATAACTATGACCCGACCCGAAATGATTCGCTTTTTTATTGGTTTTATTATGTTTTCCTATATCTTTGGACAGTTAAGCATTTATTTTATTGTCGATTATTTAGTCAATTGGCTGATCCATCTATACAACAGTGTTTTAGATATTTTCATTGAAGTGCTGTCGCCGTCGTCTTTTACCATTAAAATCGAGGGCCAAAACTTAATGGCACATTCAATGAGAGGTATGCAAGACTCGTTTGACATCAAAGAAAAAATGATCAAAAAATTTGAATCCTGTAAAGCAGTTCCCAATCCGCCAAATGTAGAGCTATACAAAAAAATGTCACTTTTATTATTAGTTGTATTGATGACTGTATTTTGCGGGTCATATGGTCTCCGGCTTCGTCATTATGTGGCCGGTCTTTTTTATCCACATCGCATACCTGTCCGTACAGTTTGGCTCTACAATCATATACTCATAACAAGAGGTAATATATTTGAATTCTGGAGAAAACAAATGCGACAAAAAACTTATGGAGATATCGATGGTCCAGAAAGTGTCAGTCTATTTGAACGGTTATGTCATGAATACAAGTATTTGCGTATCATTTGTACCGTTTTGGGTGTCTATGAGAAACAAGTTTCATGTGTAGTGTGTGGCATACGAGTCAAAGACGACGGTTCTGACCAATCCATCAGTTGTGTCAACAAATGCGGTGCCTATTATTGTTTCGACTGTTTGGGCGGACTTAACAATATATGTATAAATTGTATGAATACTATTGACTACATAAATATTGGTGACATCAGTGAAGAAATGGATTCAAGCGATGAAGACATACCCTATACTCTCGATGACGAAGACTTTCTCTATCAGTACAATAAAAAGAAAGATCAAAAAGTTCAACAAATTATCGACTATTTGGATGATACCGATCAACACGCCTATCAAAGACGTGATTTGGTATCAATTGCCTATCAATACGACACTAAACATCAAATGCCAAAACATATATATATTGTGAACAATAAAGAGGACGAAAGTCATTACGAGACCGACGACGACGAGTCATATAATAACGATAGCAATGATTACAATAAATATTTATTTAGTTTAGAAAAACAGTTGAGAATACCGGCTGAAGATATCGTTAGAATGAAAACCAATGCCAAGAATTTTATGGAACAGGAGATCAATACCAGTGCTGTCCATAAGGTTAAGGAAGACATGTATTCACATTTTAGACGTGAAGACGACCAACGATTGATCACAAATGCATTACTGTATCAAAATAGAGACCAAAAAAGCCAACAAAAATATAACAAAATGTGATACAAATTACACATTTTCTTAATTAAATAATTTAATACTTATTTTATTTTTATTTATATTTTTTCTATATTTTATATTAATTATATTTGAATACTTTTATTAATTTTTGTCACTATAAATTATATATATTTTACATTATATTTTATATTAATAATAATTTACATTAAACTTAAATAAAATTATATATACCTAATCTTTAGATAAAATTGTAAAAACTTGTATATCAATAATAAATAATTTATTGAATAAACAATTGACAAATAGACAAATACAATACAAGTATACAATAGTATAATATAACTCACTTTTTATACTATTAAAGATTACATATAATATAATAATTAATTAAAATAATTTTTAAAATATTTATATTAAAGATATTATGTTATAAACCAATTGAAAATATCATATTGTATCTAAACTCGTAAAATTTTACTTTATCTTATTATAAACTAAACTAATTATTAACATTTGCATAATTATTGTTAATATAAAATCTATTCAATAAATTACTTATCAAATATATGAAACAAAAGTTTATTGTTACAATAGTGAGAGATATTATTATTAAAGTTTATATTCAAATGTTAACGAAAGATAACTGTTTTCAATACTAAATAAGTGTTTGATAAATAACTAAAAATTTTTTTACTAGAATTATAGTAAAATATATAATAGTTATTATATTGCCATCAGATATTTATTTAAACTAAAATCTATTAAAATTTAATAATGACATTCATTATGATAGTTAAACACTACTTAGTAATTGTAAAGATAATAGCATTGATATGTATGACACATAAAACTAACGGTGTATTTGGTGCCGATATTTGTGAGGAAACGTATGTCGATTCGGTTTTCATGATCAGAGACGGCATAAATGTTCGCCGAAGTGACCATTTGTGGCACTATTCGTATGACTTTAAGTTGATTAGTGTTGACAACCAAATACAGAAACTCAGACATTTGTTGAACAACAATAAAACCAGTATTTAGATAATCTGTTTAATCAATTTAACTGATAGTTATTTAGCTTTTCCTGTATGTCTTTAAATGTCTTAGTCGGACATGTCTTAAGTGGTTTGTACGTCCCGGAGATCAATTGCAACGACAACGACAATATGGTTAAAGCGATTGAGTCAGCAGTCGATGACAATGAGATTATCAATTGTACGACATGTCGAAGATGGCACACAAACCTATTGCTTGTCATTTACAGAGACGACAAAATAGCTGACGATTGTTTTGCCTTTAAACAAGTGGTTCCGGTCACCAATCAAATTAGGGATATTCAGGACACAAACTTTCACAATGGTTGGCAAACTAACGGCACAATTACTCAACGAATAATACCTATCGATTGGGGCAAACTTCAGGACACTATCGCTATGTATTACGAACCAAACAATTATCAGATATTTATGATCTTAAATAAGTCTCCGAAAGACAATCGCCAATCGTCGGCACTGTTCTGGACGTCACTGAATACCGTTAATTGGATAAAGTATCTGAAACAGAGTGCTTTGGCCGATGATCTCACATACAATGGTTTTATAAGGTATCAAAATCAGGTGTACGCTGTGGCCGAACCCTATGGCTATCACAAGACTAGACGAGGTCCGAGTCAACTGTATCTGTTTGACCCGATTAGCAAAACGCTAACAAAACATGTTAGCAAATCTAACGGTGCTATTAATTGTTTAGTTAATTATACAGTATTTATTTCTAATAGGATACTGAACTACTTGAGTTATTCGGGTGCCATCCATCCCATAGATACAATTGGATCACATATTTAGTTTTGATTATAATTGTTATTACAATTATCGTAGTCATTGTTATAGTTGTAGTATTGATTGTTTATCGCAACTATATTAGAAGTAATATACAGTATATATTTGTATATAAAATAACATTTTTAATAATTAAATTGATTTGTCAATAGCTTCGGACACTACAATAGTGTACAACAATGAAAACAATAAGACAACAGATACGCCTCCGACAGATAAACTTAATGCAATTACTATCAGAAATACAGATAAAAATGTCACAAATCTTCCCGAGACTACTAATACTTCCAGTCAGTCACCTAAGACCGACACTAAGCCATTAGCCATCAGTGGTAAAGCAAACACAACCAGCGGTTCAATGTTTAATGAAACTACAATGAGAAGTAGTTTATGAAATATTTCTACATATATTTGTTTATATATTTAGTATTCATTTATAAATATACTGTAAAATTATTTTTAATTATTATATATTATATCATTAATGTATACAAAAAATAATTTTTTAAACACGTTTTTATTAATTTATTACAAACTAAACTTAGTTATATCAATATATGAAAAATATAATAAATTTCTTAATGAATAAAATTCAAAAAATTTAGATAATATTCAATATAAATCAAATGTAATATAAAATATATCTAAAACATAGATTAATCGTTTTTTAAATGATAAATAAAATCAAAATAAATCTAATGAAACAATTTTTTAAAATATGAAGAAAAAGATAGTCTAAAGAAAATAAAAGAAAACATTATTTGAGTGATTAAATCGACTTAAGGGTCGGTGTCTTGGAAGTGATCGGAGTCTTCTGAGTTTTCGGCGAAATGTTTCCGAATGTCTGCGACGGTCTTGGAGTAAGGTTTGGTTTCTTTTCAATCAACTCAAAGTCGTTGATCTCTTCTTCGTCATCATCGTCATCGTCGTCGCAATTATTGACAACGCTATTGGTCTTGATTGGTGAAAGTGTTTGTATGGAAGTACTGCGTTGAGGTAGTGGTGACTTCTGTGTATTCATCGACTTTTGTAAACTCGTCGATTTGAAAGAACTGCCAGAAATTGAGACACATTTTGGTCTGACACTGTCGGACACTGACGCCCGGATTGATCCCGAAGTTGAAGTGTTGCCAGAGTTTTGTAGACCAGATTTTGACTGCTCTTTGACTTTATGGCAGATGCAGATACCAGTAGCAGAATTAGGTCCCGAACAAGCAGAACATCCCTGACTGACAGTATGTGACTGATCCAAACTGACGGCCGGTATGTTCGACGCTGATGTTGTCTCTGAACGATTAGTGTTGGCCACAATCACCGGGAGCTGTCCTTCGCGTGAGTCTCTAAGACTAAACATTAAGCAACACAAGAGCACGACCACCAACAGGACAATTGTGACCACAATTGGAACAGTAATGATGACATTGATGTCGTATATCTGTTCATTGGCTGATAGAAGAAAAAAAAAGATTTTGTTTGTTAATTGTTTTATCAAATGTTAAATCAATATCAAAGTCTACATTCAGTGATCAACTCTTTTGTTGACTTCTGTTGTTCAGAAGATATATTGTCAGACAATAATAAGATGAGACAACAGATTAATGCAAATTGTGATCTCATTTTCATTTGTGGTTATAATTCAGATAATTGAATAAAAATATTTGAATAAATAGTTAGTTAACTGACAATTGTTTGAATAAATAAATCAATACAAAATACGATATTATTACTACAATGGATAATAAATTTCGAGACAAATTGTAATTATAAAAACTTAATAGATTTTTCGGATAAAATTTGGTATTATATATTTGTAATGATATATTTTACAACAATTTACTGACAAATTGTTTTAATAATTAAATTTAAAAAATTAAAAAATATTTAAATAATTTTGTTGTTTAATATCGTGATAAACAATTCAATAATAATCGGTCCGTGAATTACGCGACACAACTATCATATCATTAAAATTTAATTAAAAATTAAAACTCAGTAACGGTTTGAATTGTCGATTGAATTGTAGACAAATAGTCAACAAAAAAGATTTTAAATAACCACTAAAAAAGTGAATATCAATTGAGTGAAGACAGCAATCATGAATGCAAGATCAACATCTCTGCCAAATTTGAGTGATGACGAGGGTTATGACAGCAACTTTAGTGGCAGAACTCGAAAGGATAGTGAGACACAAACCGATGAAGAAGATAGTGACAGAACTCGAAGGAATAGTGAGACACAAACCCATGAAGAAGATAGTGGCAGAACTCGAAGGAATGGTGAGACACAAACCGATGAAGAATATAGTGGCAGAACTCGAAGGAATGGTGAGACACAAACCGATGAAGAATATAGTGGCAGAACTCGAAAGAATAGTGAGACACAAACCGATGAAGAAGACGATAGAGACTCCGGTTTCGGTGATATCGACAAATCTTTTGAAAAGACCGACGCAGAAACACAGACTCCCAAATGGAAAGATGAAAGACATTCAAAGGGTACACAAACAAAGACAATTAAAAAGGTTGATCGCGGCGTACAAACAGTCAAGAAAAAGCGTGTCCGCCCAACCAGAAAAACTACTACCGACGATGACACGGATCTTATACCAACAGAGCTTAGGGATCTTTGGTCGCAAATCACAAGAGGTCGATCCACACTCATCTATCCAAACAAATTTTTTGGCCGTCCTCGACAACCACATCCAACCGAGCGGACTAGTAGTGATGTTGGCAGAGAAGAAAAAACTGGAGGTGAGGACACACTTATACCATCTAAGCTGAGAAATCGTTGGTCTCAAATCACAAGAGGTCGGTCGACTCTTATCTTTCCCAAGAAATTTTTTGGCCATCCTCTACAACCTAAACAAAGTGATTGGACTGGTGAAGATGGTCGCAGAGACCACACTACTGGCGATGAGGGCACACTTATACCCGCAGATCTAAAAGATCGTTGGTCACAAATTACGAGAGGTCGGTCGACACTTATCTTCCCGAAGAAATTCTTTGGTCGTCCAATACAACCGAAACAAAGTGATTGGACTCGTGAAGATGGTCGCAGAGACCAGACTACTGGCGATGAGGATACACTTATACCCGCAGATCTAAGATATCGTTGGTCACAAATCACGAGAGGTCGGTCGACACTTATCTTTCCCAAACAATTTTTTGGACGTCCTCTACAACCTAAACAAAGTGACCAAATTCGTGAAGATGGTCGCAGAGAACGAGAAGAGCCGACTGGCGATAAGGACACCCTTATACCCGCAGATCTAAAAGATCGTTGGTCACAAATCACTAGAGGTCGGTCGACACTTATTTTCCCGAAGAAATTCTTTGGTCTTCCAATACAACCGAAACAAAGTGATTGGACTCGTGAAGATGGTCACAGAGATCAGACTACTGGCGATGAAGACACGCTTATACCCGCAGAGCTAAAAGATCGTTGGTCACAAATCACTAGAGGTCGGTCGACACTTATCTTCCCGAAGAAATTTTTTGGTTGTCCAATACAAGCGAAACAAAGTGATTGGACTCGTGAAGATGTTCACAGAGACCAGACTACTGGCGATGAGGATACACTTATACCCGCAGATCTGAAAAATCATTGGTCACAAATCACGAGAGGTCGGTCGACACTTATTTTCCCGAAGAAATTCTTTGGTCGTCCAATACAACCGAAACAAAGTGATTGGACTCGTGAAGATGGTCACAGAGACCAGACTAGTGGCGATGCGGACACACTTATACCCGCAGATCTAAAAGATCGTTGGTCACAAATTACGAGAGGTCGGTCGACACTTATCTTCCCGAAGAAATTCTTTGGTTATCCAATACAACCGAAACCAAGTGATTGGACTCGTGAAGATGGTCACAGAGATCAGACTACTGGCGATGAAGACACGCTTATACCCGCAGAGCTAAAAGATCGTTGGTCACAAATCACTAGAGGTCGGTCGACACTTATCTTCCCGAAGAAATTTTTTGGTTGTCCAATACAAGCGAAACAAAGTGATTGGACTCGTGAAGATGTTCGCAGAGACCAGACTACTGGCGGTGAGGACACACTTATACCCGCAGAGCTAAAAGATCGTTGGTCTCAAATCAAGAGCGGTCGATCCACACTTATATTTCCGAAGACATTCTTTGGTCGTCCAATACAAACGAAACCGAGTGGACGCAAGTCGAGCCCTGTCGGCCGCACGGGTAAAGGTGTTACTAGAAATCAAATGACTGATTTCATGCGTGAAGTCGATATTCAGCATCCGTTCCGCAATTGGGAAGTATCACCCAAATACAAGTGGCACACTCGCGGTCGGGTGCCGTCCGATTGGGAACAGATGATGTCATTGGTTCGGCTAAATCAACGCCGACGACAGCAAAAAGAAGGCAAAAGTGGTGATCCTTCACGAAACGCACACTTCGGTAAACCAACTTCGGAGGACTTTAATTATTCAAAAGACTCTGGATTTAGCTCTGGATTTGACTCTGAATTTCACTCTGGATTTCACTCCGAACACAACCCGACAGACAATTGGAACCGAGAGACCATCGGTGACAACGATTTCTTCTATCCGAAGACATTCTTTGGTAAACAAATGAATTGGTAACACATTTGATGTCAAATATTAGTATATATTAGTAGTGATTGTATTCAAACCATCAATTAATGATTTGTCTGAATTTATTATCAATCAGTTGTCATATGCTTTATATTAAATACTGTTTCAATTATTTCTTGTTTTTATGTAATTTTGTATTGAAATTGTGTACAAAAAAAAAGAAAAATCAATTTTATTTTTATCAAATAATGTTTTTATAGACAAGAAGTAATATTTTTCGTCGAAAAAAAACAGAGTTTTAGCTCCGGTAAGCATCGGTAAGGATCGGTCTTATATTTTCTTAATGACACCAATTTTATAATTAGATTTGATTTTTTTGACATTATCTGAATGGTTGTCCAGAAAACCAATGGTAGCGTATTTTTCGGTGTAATTCATAATAGTATCGACATCTTCGGGATGTGAGTCCAAAAACTTTGTCACATCAAACACTTGATCGCTAATTACAGTATAATTCAAAGCGAACTTTTAGTGTTGTGTTTTAAACACTTCCTCGACGGTGTACTCTTTATCTTTGGATGTACTCTCAGATACTTTGTTTTTTAAAATTTGTTTTGTCTTATCGTTTGGCAATTTTTTTTTAATTAATTTTATTATCAAAGTATTTTCAATTTTTCGTTAGTTTTTCAATCATTGGTAATAAATTATTACTATATATTGTATACTGTGTTATAGAGTAATGTAACAATTTATACAATAGTTTTAATTGTTTAGATATTTTTTTATCGCATATACTATACCTAACCCTGTACCACATATACTATTAATTGTTTTAAACTAAATTAAAATATATAGAAATATTATCACGAGACAAAAATATTTGATAAAACAAATTATATATATTTTTAAACAAATAAATGCAAATAATATAATTATATCTCTAAATACTTTTGTAATTGATTTGAATTAATTTGTTTATAATAACTGTTTTTGAAACACTATTATCAACTATCAGATCCTATTCCCAACTATTTTTAGTTTGATTTTGAATACAATGGGAAAGAAAGAGAAGGCAAAACGTATCCCATCGGACGCACCGACAGCTCTAATCGCACCATCAGATTATGAGCACATATACAAAGGACAGAAAAGTAACACTAAAGGAAAGGGAGGAACGGCTGCCAAACGCATTCCATCGGACGCACCGACGGCACTGATTGCTCCATCAGATTATGAGCACATATACAAAGGCGAAAAGGGATCCAAAAAGGGTGGCGGAGGTAGCGGTAAATCTAAACGTATCCCATCCGACGCACCGACGGCACTGATTGCTCCTTCAGATTATGAGCACATATACAAAGGCGAAAAGGGATCCAAAAAAGGTGGCGGAGGTAGCGGTAAATCTAAGCGTATCCCATCCGATGCACCTACAGCTTTGATTGCTCCCTCAGATTATGAGCACATATACAAAGGCGAAAAGGGATCCAAAAAGGCTGGCGGAGGTAGCGGTAAAACTAAACGTATCCCATCCGACGCACCCACAGCTTTAATTGCTCCTTCAGATTATGAGCACATATACAAAGGAGAAAAGGGATCCAAAAAGGGTGGCGGAGGTAGCGGTAAATCTAAGCGTATCCCATCCGACGCACCTACAGCTTTGATTGCTCCTTCAGATTATGAGCACATATACAAAGGCGGCAACAAATCTAAAGTACCGGCCAAACGGCTGCCATCGGACGCACCAACAGCTCTGATCGCACCATCAGATTATGAACACATCTACAAAGGCGCCACACGTACAGCACAAGGTGGTGGTCGTACCGGTGCTGAACAGATACCCAATTCTGTGGTTAAACTAATCGACGATTATGTTCAACAACAACCCAAACAATATGACCACAACTGATCACAAGTGATGATCACAAACATTGTTTTCACTTATTTTATCTTATATTTCAAATTCTTTGTATTTTTATATTTTTTGTATTAAATTTCCATCAAATGTTAATTAGTTTCTGTTTTGTTTTAATGCAATGAAATTTAAATAGATTACTAATTTTATATACAGTATTATAAATTAACTAAATCGTAATAGCATTTACTTATTTTGTATCCAATTTTTATTATATTATTTAGATATTTATTAATAAATTAGTTTCAAATAAAAGTTTTTTAATTTTTACTTTTTACAAATTATTTACACTACTGTATATTACTATTTTTGTTGAAACTTATTGTTTTGGTTGATTCAAATTGACTGTATTAATGTCACTATTTTTAACCCAAACACCGGTCTGTTTTGTTAAACATTTGATAGACATTCAATATATGAAACAACAATCAATATAAACAAATCTAAAAGTATATTATCATTAAGATAATAATTTAATAAAATCTCAAATTACTGTTAAATTAGATGTAAAAACTTGATATAAAGCAATAATTGATATAAAAATAATAGAAGAAACACATAATAACCAATGAATGGCGTAAATAGGATAATGCATACAAATATTAATATAATGAATCTCTTTGATAAAAAATTATAACTATATATATAATAAATTATATCTATGCAAAAATATATTTTATAATTTATATAACATTTGATCCCACCCTACACCCCACCCCCATGAGATCGAAAATCTTTAGCAACCCTGATTTTATTATTACTTAAAACAATTAGTTTTAACCGTATTATAATTGGATAATGTAATGGAAACCATCCATACAAATGGAAAGGGAGAAAAATATCTGACTGACCGCATCTGACCAAACATTAACGGTTAGATATTTTTATCACATTTCTGCACTAATGTAGTACTCAATGCCATTAATTGCAGCCTCCAGTAGTCAGTCTCTTCTTCCCAATAATATTGTTATCATTAAATATATTGAAATATATGCTGTAAAGTATCAAACTTTTCCAAATCCTTTAACACCATTAGATATGGCAAAAAAACATGAGTATCCACTCAATCATTAAACATTTTTGATCAGTTAAGTGAACCCAACTATTCAATACCATCACTCATTTGCAACACACGATTAACACATATTAATTTATATAATAAATCAAAATTAAATAAATTATACAACAATTATATAACAAATAATCAATAATTCATTTATAATAATTTAGTAAAAGTTTTAAGAATATAACATTGAAATAAATTGAAATTTTGACAAATTCTGATAAATAATAACAAATAAATGAATTATTTATTTGTATTGTCTTTTGTTGGCATTTTTATTGCATATGTATTGGTAAACAGTTTTTCACACCAATCTTCCTGTTTTCGTTGTTCACATTTAATACATTGATTCCAGTATTTCCTATCAATCACTTCATTTGGTTTGGCTATAAATTGTCGACTTTTTGACGTTGAATGACATCTCAATGATGACAACGATTTGCCGAAAAGTTTTGCACAAAGTTTTCGATTGAATAAACTCATCAAAAAAAAATCAATTGTTTTTATCTATAATATAGACTATAATAAGCATTAATTTTATTATTTAACTGATTGTAATAAAAACTTTTACTTATATTAATATACAAATTGTATATCTACCAAATGTCAAATAAAAACCAAATTTACTGTATATAATAGATAAAGATAATTAGTAATTATTAATTACAAAAAAATATAACTGATTTTTATTTGGATTGAAATTGAAAACATTTCGTTTTTTAATAATTGAATATTTATTTTTAAAATTAACTGTCAAATAAATAATGCAATAAATTTGATTTATTTTATTTTATTTTCAAATTGTTATAATCGCGAGAAAAGTAAATGTTAAAGATATATAAAATTATAAATTTCAAAATTATTCTACAGTATATACAGGTATCATAATTGTATTGATTAAAAAAAACTGTTTAATTACTGTAAATCAGTAGTGACTAACACTTATTTGATGTGACTATTAATAATATTATAATATTTGCATAAAACATGTATAAACTACTAAAAAGTATAAATTTATTAACCATTGTTTTGGCCATAATTTTGTTGACAATTGAAGTAAATATTTGTGAAAATAAGTCGATAAACAATTCGCGCGAAGCAATTGCTAACAAGTCGATGGACACCGACTTCAGCGATGTTTGTACACATATTTATAAGTCATTAATAATATTATTGATATTTTATTAGTAATAAACTATATTATAAACTATATTATAGTATGAATCGGTCGATGAAATCCTAAACAAGACATTTGTCCGCAACTTTGACTATTACGATCAAACCACGGCTCGACCGAAGACTAAAAGGCCGACTAAATCCGAGAAAAGTATAGTTGAATTACGAGAAAACAACGACATGTTACCGACGGACAAATCCGGTGCCGGCAGTGGCGGTGGCGGCGGAAATCTGGTGACCATTCTGGCCATAGCAGGGGTCGCCGGTATCGTTGTTGTCATAATTGTGACGGCAGTCATAGTATTGGTTGTGAGAAAAACCAAGAGTGACGTCAAACTTAAGGTTAGAAATCTGGGCTCTCGGTTGTCATTAGCTTCAATACAGACAGTGGCCTCAAATACAGGACAACCCGCCACTAAAAAGAAGTCACCAAATAAGCCAACAAAGAAACAAATTAAAAAATAGATATTTTATATTGATTTTTCACTATCTGTTTGTTAATATTTCAGCAAATTTTTATATATAAAAATTAATTTCATGTATTCTTTTGAAAAAATATCATTATTTATTTATATGTTTTCTGATAATTATTTATATTTCAACTTTTATTTGTTATAAGTTTTATTCAATAAAAATATACTAAATTTTATACTGCAATACAATACAGTAATAATTTAGAAAACAATTTTTATTAAAGAATAATTTATTTTTTCTATAAATTACTGAAACTTATTAATTTAAAAAAGTTAATTTTTATGCATATTATATTTTTTCATTTAGAAAATATAATATAAAAATAAGTATATAAAAATTTATTAAAACAAAAAAAAAAACATTTATTTAATGATAAACTTGAGAATAAACATTATTACAAGAAAATAATTTTTATTTGCTTATTATGCAAATAAAATGCCAATATTATTGTCATTATATAATTCTTTATGGATCTCAAAATCATTTAAATTTAATTTATGATATGTTTCTATTAGTTACTAAATAAATATATATATATATCGATATATTTTTGATATTATAAATGCAAAATTAAATATAAGATCAACGATTAAAGTTTGCATTCTGTTATTGACTATACTTATAATTGACATAATATTTTGCATAATTTATTTATATTTTTAGGTTTTTATAGTTTATTCAGTGATAACTAAAAATATCTATTCTCTTATACGAAATGAAAATTATGATTTCATTAAAACTAAGTTTGTTTATAGTATTAATTTATATAAATTACAACAACAATAGTGCTGTCAATTGTACCGAAAGTCAAGACCAATTGGAGACGAGCACCGATACCAGTGACCGATCGGCACAGACATGTGGTCTATCGGCTCGGGAAAAGTGTTTGGAACCGATGCGCAAAGTTTTCACTACAAAACACGTGTCGTACGGCAAAAATGAAAATGAATTGTCCGACACTTGCAAGTAATTTACAATTGGTTTTTTGTGGTTATAATTGGCTTATTGTTTGAATTATGTAATTGTGTTTTGTTTTATCTGAAAATAGAAAAATGCAAAAACTGATTACTTGTTTTGACAAATATCTGGAGGAATGCAAGTCTAATGGCGCCCGCATTAGAGAAAAAGTGGCGAATCTAATGAGTGGTCAACAAAAACTTCACAACACTTTATGCGATGATAACAGTCAACTGAGACAAAGTTTGTATCAATTTTTTTCTTAAAACTAGTTTTTTCAGTATTATTATTATTATTATTAATATAAGTCTGATAACTAAATATAATAATTTTGTCTTTAAATTTTTTGAAGGATATCTAAGTTATGCTCATTGTATTGAATACAACAGTAAAGATACGATTCAGTGCTTTAAAAACTACGAGAAGGAGTTGTTGGACACTATGAATGAAATGCCACTTCAAAGTCAAAAGTTTGGTTACATTCAAATGGACTCAATTTGTTGGTCAGTTAGATAATTGTTGTTAGAAATTTATGATATAGTTTTTTTTATAGATTAGATAAAAAATTATACTGAACTTAACCTAACAGTGAATCCTAACACAATTATTGTTGACCTAATAGTGCACTTGAGAGACACAATACCTGTACGCGACTAATACTGGAAAGTCGTTGCAATGTCAGTGCCGCCGATCTTTCCGAACAGTTGTTTCAGATGTCCCGAACCGATGTGTCGGCCGATTGTGAGCGCCACCGGTCTAATCGACATTGCAGTGGTGGCGGCGGCTCTCAAATAACTTGGTTCAGTCCTAATATAATAACGGTTCTCTCATTGTTTGCATTAATATTTTAATGCTTTTTTTCAACTAAACACACAATTATTTCATTTTTTTCTGATGACATTTTTTTGCTAATAAACTGCAATCAAACAAATCATTAATCAAAATATTTAATATATATATAGAAAAAAATTGTTTTGCATATTGAATATCAATATCCATTTATAATTTATCTCTACTGTATTTGTGAGTAAAAGTTAAAGAGAAAATAATAATAATAATCAATTTTCTGGAAATCAAAAACATTTTTAATCATATATTAGAAAAAAATCATTAATAATAAAATTATTGTCAAATCAATATTTTCATTTTATTAGTTATTTACACAACAAAAATTAATATAATAGTTAGCAAATTTGTTTGACACTAAATGTAAACTTTTTAAATAATATGTAAATTAAATTTATAAATAAATTACATGTACTGTATTGAAAAAACCAAACAAAATTATTGTTTATTAATAAATTTATTAATATAATCGTTGGTCATATCAAGTGCCGACTCGTACTTGTCATCCGTGCACTGTTGATACCGGAGCGCACACTTATCGCACCGTTTACTTTGTCCGTATTCGTAGCCCTGATCGCCGCCTGAGAAAAGATACGGCAAATTTTGTGGCATATCTTTGCCCATAATTTCCTGCGAATCGATCAACGGTTCGGTAATCTGTCCGCTGACTGTTCGCTGACATATCTGTTCGCACAGCAATCGGGTCATACAGTCAGTCATGTTTGCGTTGTCCACTGTTTTCATTTCCTTCTTAAACAAATCTTTGACAAAACCTTCGATAACGTTACCAAATATCGGGTCACTGGAGAGGTCATCGCCGCCATCAGACACTGATCTCTGGACACAAAACACAGCAAACAGTAATAATAATAACCCAATCAATACTGAATTATGATTATTATTAATCATAGTTTTAATACGGCTTTTTCTGATACAACTAAATAACTTAAATAATATGTGATATTATTATTATTTTCATAAAATCTGGTCTTTGTTTGCGAGAAAAAGTGGTTTTCATTGAATTTTTTTTCTTCAGTTTTCAGGTGACAAAAAAACTCAACAAAAAAATGTTAGTTTATTTAGCTATTTCCTGTGTTTTCATATATAAATTATAAACAGTATATGTTTGTGTGTGAAAAATATTAATATACATACATTTAAACATAAAGTTAAAATTTTTTTAGACATAATTACCGAAGCGTTACTTAAATTTAAAGATAATTAGATTTTTTTCTGTTGAAATGTCATAGTTTTTGAAATGCAATACTATTGATATTTATTTCAATACATTCAATATATAGTGAATAATTGCTAACCTTGTAGTGTAACTCAAATATTTTGTATATTTTTTTAGATTTAATTAAAAAATTTATTTGTTTCAAATAATTTAGTTAATACTGTAGTTACATATTACCGTTACACCTATTGACCCAATAATTAATTTATACTAATGTTATACAAATTTTTATTAAATTAAAAAATAATTTTTTGTTAATATACTATTACCATAATGATTAATAAACAAATGATTTTATTGATATATGCAAAAATAATGATCAAAATATTATTGATTAATTAATTAGATATCAAATAATAATATTACATAAATTATAAGATTAAAAAAATATTATATATTGTAATTATATTTATTATTAAAAAATGATTTGTTGGTTAATAATAAAAATAATATTATTTTTATAATTAATATATTCTACACAAAAAAAAGAGTACAACAGTTGAGTATAATATTAATAATATTGTAATAATATTAATGATATTATTATTGATTATATGTTTTGCAAGTATAATAATATGATAATATTAAAATTGATAATGTGTTAGTATAGCAAACTTCACTATACTATTATATCGGCACAATAACGATCAATATAACTATTTTAATAGTAATAATACCTGTATATCTTTACTAATATACAATGTACTGTAATATACAGTAATATTTGAGTAATATTTAATATAATATGAATTATACTGTTAAACTAAAATATTATTTGCAATCACTTAAAATACTACATAAATACATTTTGATTAACAAATAAAATCCATTTTATTATTTGTATTTCAACGCTTTAGTCAATTGTTTAAATTGAATTAATTAAAATCTCAAAACAAATCTATGCTCTCATAAATCTACACAAAAAAGTCACAATTTTAATGGAAATTTATTTTGAAAATTTAATTTGTTTTCTGCTAAATGAATAATAGAAATCTTAATTACATTTTTTTAATCAATAATATGAAACAGTTATTTCAGACAAACGCAAAGCAAATAAAAGATAAAAATCAACAAAAAGATCAGTTGAATAAAAAATTGCAAAAATTTATTAATTGGAAATATTTGGCAAAAGTAGCGGTCGTTATCTTCAGTTTTAGTGGTTTTTTCTGGCAAAGCAGCGACTATTTTGTCAATTATTTTAATTATCCGACATTTGTTGGCGTCCGGATCGAGAGGTCTATTATCATAGACATACCGGCCGTCACTATTTGTATACCGACTCTTACGTCGCGTTCACTTCTGATGCAAAGTAATCCCAAACTCAGTGAAGAAATCGAAAAAATTAAACAAAATGGCGACTCGTCTTCGGTGGTCAATCGCAAGAGAGAACTGTTCCGTATGTATGAGAATCTGACGGCCAGTTTAGTATCACCGCAACACTTCTTTCAGTTAGGCATACATGCGGACCATTTTATTGAGTGTCAAGTATTAAAACCGTTGTACTTTAAAAATAAATTTTTGAACAATATGTGGATCTCCTGTACGGATGTGTCCAAAGTTTTGGAGACAATCGGTCCAAACGGAAAATGTTTTACATATTTTACAAAATTAAATCAAATTAATATCAACAGTACTGACAATTTGGATCAATTGCATAAAATAGATGTCTATAAGACTGTCAGGAATCAGGTGGGACTTGCAATCCGATTGAAAGTCAACATCAATGCCAGTGATTATATAGATATGGCTAAAGTAGGCGATGAGTCCATCACTTTGCACGAGACGACGGCAATACCCACAGAAGGAAAACGTCGTTTATTGAAAGTCGGAACCATTTACGACATATACTTTACAAAGATATTAACCATTAACCTGCCGGCGCCGTTCAGTACCAACTGTATGACCTATGAGGCCAATCAAATTGATAGACCACAGTCTCGTGTGGATTGTG